ATCATCAGTGGAGTAACGCCCTACACCTGATATTAGCGGCTGTGTATCAGTCATGACGTGATATACAACGTTTTACGATTGAGAGTAACCAAAAATGGAAATATCTATGCAGTGCAACACAATTATTGCATGCAACTTGTTAAACTTGAATATGGATGCGCCTTATGCATAAGATCAGATGAATCCACATCGATGCACTCAAAATATTTTGATTTATATACCGTTTAATAGAGAAGACAATTCTCTATACACCAATATGTATTAGAATCGAAAATAATATTGATAGAACCTCGAAAATTTCAAAATACCTGTAATCCTATGGATTTTACAGAGAAATTCAGTTTTTTAGGTTAGACAAAATGAAACTGCAACTCAAAATACATCACTCAATACAGAAAATCAAGCTGAATCGAATAATGTCTTTAGTTCCTAAAAAAATTATGCAGGGCGTCCCAAAAATCATGAAACAAAAACAAAATAGTATATTTCCATTGAGGTTTCGCTGAACGAATTGTTTTTTTGATCTGTAGATACAAGACACTTGCACATTTTATTTCATAAATATAAAGGTCGAAAGCTCTTCTGTAAATGGCACTGTTAGACTCAGTAGGCAAAAAAGTGCCTTTTCCGAGTTTCAGTCTATAATGTGTACGATTTTTTGCAATTTTTTGAAGTTTTGTTTTTCATTACTGGGGACTTTTTATTATCTAAGTCTCGTTCTCTCGCTTTGAAAGCAATTATTTAACGCTTTCGAAAATTATAGAATACTTAGTATAGTTCTTCAAAGTGATCTGTTCTTCGCTCATTAAAAATTTTCATGCGAGCTGAACTACGTATACTGACGCAATTTGAGTTTCTATTGTCTCTAAGTTTGATATACCTGTGTCTAGTTTTTTGCCAATCTCAAAGAAATGTTTAGATGCCAAGACAAGGAATCATAAATGATTAAAAGTCTATAATAATGAAAAAAAAACTTAGAAAAATTAAAACGATCTGTATTGTTTTTCAGAATCTGTAAAAAGGACTTTTTTACGCATGGTGCGTATAAGTGTCACTTTTCAAGAACTCGATGAACCTAATATTGATGAAATAGAAATGTGAAATGTTTTCTATCGACAGAATAAAACCCCAGTTCATTTGGTGAAATCCTAATGAAAACATACCATTTTACTTTTGATACATGACTTTGAGCATGTCTCCTACAAGAGACATATTAGCCGCTCATTATAATAATTATTTCATACAGGTTTTTCAATAATCTCCGTTTTTAGGGAACAAGATGAAGACCAAAATTTCTCAAATGACACAGCCTCATGAAGAATTAACGTTTTTACAGAATGGTGTGTTTGCGTGAACAATAATTGTATTTTCTGTTTATGATAAGAATCTATCCGCCCAAGTACAGTTGACAATGGAGAGAGATGAGAAAAAAATTTTCATTCTGTTACTTTATATGCATGGTATGCGGATATATATATATATATTTATATAACTTTCTCTCCTTCATTCACTAGCTCAGCCTGTATAAAGCGACCGAACGAAAGAGTTTTTTTCTTTCTTTTGTCACTGTAAATTGTCCTTGAAAAGATAGGCTCTTATAATATTCAGTAATAATTATCTTGCGTCCAAGCACATCAACTCGTAGAAAATTTAATTTTCTACAAGCTTGCATGGCTCGAAAAACTTTTGAGTTTAATTTTGATCTCTAAAAACCAAGATTATTAGAGGACCTATATAAAACACTAATTGTAATTAGCAATTAATGTGTCTTATGTGTAATAATTTTTAGGAATCAAAGATATGAACCCATTCATTTTGATTTTCGCTATCGAATGATGCATTTCGAGTGGCTTTTTCATTTTATCGAACCTGAAAACAATTAATTTCTCTGTAAAACTCATAGAAGTTCAGGCATTTGGACGTTTTTGAAGTGCTATCAATATTACTTTTGATTCTAATACACACCAGCATGTAGAAAATTATTCTTTTTATTAAGTAATATATAACTCAAAAATATTTTGCTTAGAATAAAGGCCACACAAAGAAAATTACACGTACCTAAAGACTTTTTTGCATAGGCAATCAAGTAGTTAATAGAAAAATTTTTTGAGATAATTTTTTTTATACAATAAAATAGGAACTTCGATCTACTGAATGGTATTATCAGAATTGAGAAAATGTTTTTTTAAAATTTGCTTCAAAAGACAAGTATTACAGGATATTTGAATAATTATTTTACATGGTGTACACTTACTTGTTAAATTCGTGTAAAATCTTGTGTATCCACTCCCAGAAGTACACTGTATTCTATCGACGTCGTTGTTTGAAGGAGAGCAAAGTATTGTATTGCCTATTTATACGTTGCGAAATAAATTTTGGCTTTTACGCATACGTGGCGATATATGAATAGATAAAACATGAAATAATAATCACACACTACGCTGTTTCATACAAATATTACCGTCGTGTTGCTTACTCTATTTTCCTTCATTCATATAGATTAATTAAAGGTGATGAAGAGTCAGTTGAATGTTCACCAGAACGCGCACTTTACCACGTGGTAACCTATTGTTTTTTGCGCTCAACGCACAGAATCAACAATATGTAAAATCAAAATGCATTTTGGTTATAGCTCACGCCATTATTCGAAAGTTGCTCGTTTTCCTCCCGTTTATTTATTATAGCAGTAAATGGGGCTAAAAAGAGCTTTTCATTTGGCCTTATTGAATTCAATATTGAAATTTTTTTGATCTTTCTAGATTTTCAATGTTATTTCTTATACATACTTTCTTCACTTATTCTTATTGTATATTTAGGTCTCATTTCAAACATATTTACTTAATTAACTTGTTTATTTCATGTATTAAAAAGATTATATGAGGAGTATCACTATTGTCATTTTCTTCGTCTTATTTTACTTGTAGAATAATTTTATGTATTTCTTTCAATGAGATATATTTAAACAGATTATTAATGAATAATACGAGTTCATTGATCATTTTTAATTTTGTGAATTCATTTCCAAAAGCTTTATGAATACTTCGGACTGATTATCAGTCGATTTTCAAAACAAGTGACAAACAAAAGATACAAGGACTTTTTTATTAAAATATGGTGTTTGTTTGTTTTTCGTTGTTTTCTTTTAGCATTGTAATGCAAGAGGCAGAAACGTTTGCACGTGTATTGTAATGTTAAAAGAAAAGAATGAAACTGGCTTCCCACCCCGCCTCTTTTTCCTCTATTCTTTCTGAACCTCCTCTTTTCCGCCTCTTTTCGACTACGAATCCTCTTTTTCCTCTTTTTCTGAGAAAAACCTAGGTTTTCAAGGATAATAGTTGATAATGTCAGTCGATTTGGGTGAATCAATATTCTTCTAACCAAGAGAATCAATAAAAAGATTCAAAATTATCCTCCAGAACGCATCATAAGAACTAAATAGGCAATAAGGGTGTGGGTGTGGGTGTGGATTTAAATGGATAGAAGACAAGACACCCACCCACATCCAGAACCATACCCACACCGACACCCACACCCACACCCACACCCACACCCACCCACACCCACCCACACTCACACCCACACCCACACCCACACACCCACACCCCACACCCACACCCACCCACACCCACACCCATCATCAGCTGAATAAGCTGTATTAGCACTTGCAATAATATGTTGTATCAGTTGTCTTCGATAATTAGCCTTACAATTAAGAATAGCACAGTGATCCAAAGATTGTATTCGAGCAGTTGTATTACCCGGAAAGAACTTAAGAATAATGTTCTTCAGTTTGATATCAGGTGGATCAACAGGTGCATTATCCAAGAATAATAAGATTTTACGATTTTACTTTCCAATCATTGCATTGAATTCGTACAACCAATTGGTAAAAATATAACTGCTTGTCCAAGAAGTCCGACTATTGCACCAAGTAACAGACAATTTATTCATATCAAGTCCTCTAAAACACCTTGGTTTTGCTGCTTTACCTAAAAATAGCGAAAACATAACAAACATATAACAATGGCAAAACAAAATCAATACTAACCTATTACTAATGGTTTCAATTTATCAATTACCTTCGCAGCGTCACTTATACGCTTTATTCACGTGGCACCGTCTATTGATGTTCATATTGACGAGGTGAATACATACAGTCAGGACCATAAAAATGCGTTCACATTCAGAATCAAAGGATGTTCATGTACGAGAGGTACAAAACTAGCTAAACTCGCTCGGGAAATCCTGAGGGTGTTCAGTATGACAGGTTATTCACACAGGAGGGGTGTTCAGTAATAGAGGTTTTACTGTATAAACAAAACACATGAAAAAAGAAATAATAACATGATATCATATCTATTATATATTTTCTCGATCGAAAATATGATCAACTAATACCCCGCACTAAGGTAATAGGAAAATGTAATGTGAAAAGACCTGATATAAGAAATTTTCAAAAATGTATATGTAAAATTAGAGGGAAAATTCCGGAGGAAAAGCGAATCCTAGTGGAGGTCGGAATGCATCAAGCTCTATTAGAATTTATCATTAGCAAGGTCGAAACCGATCATGACTGCTGAAAGAAGAATATTTTAACATTGACAAAATCTAATCAATGAAAAAAGATATTACAGTATTTTTTTCTAAAGTTTTTTTTTTAAAACTTCATTCGATGTTTTCTTGGTTAATTTCTCTATAATCAACAAAGTTGATAATTTATTAAACATAGAAATGTGTTGACAAAAGTCATTTCAGTAAACATTGTTTATTATTAAGCTAAGGCATTAGTAAGACGACATTGTCATATAAAACAAAAAAAGTTGCATCCTTTCTTGAAACTGTTGTGCAAGAACAATATAACATATATAAATAGTGATTAAGTCGTTAAGATATTCTATATAGATGATAAAAATGGCTTCAAATCGTATTCATTGTGAAGTAATTGCATGCAATTTGAACGAACCAACAGCAATACAACTTGATGAAGGACATCATGTTCTTTATGCACTAACGAATTATCAATTAACTCGAATTGATCTAAATAATAAAAAAGATAATTTAGAGATTGTTCGTCAACATAATAGAAAATTTCAAAAAGACAACATCAATGGTGATGATAATGATGATGACGAGTATTCTCAAGGTGAGTCTGATGATGAACATGAAATGCCTCGTGTATCGGATCCATTTGATGATAGTGAACCATCAACAGATGATGATGATGAGAAAATAATGAATCGAAGAAATTGGCGTAGATATGGTTGGAGAACTTATCAATTAAATAATCCCTGTTCAATATTATTCTTGTCAGAAAATAATCAATTAGTTGTTTTGAACGAAGGTGTTATTACATTTTTGACAATCGAACTGCATGATAATCGTCCATTTGTTCAAGGAGCATCAAAAAATATTTTTTGTTATGATTTTGATGTGTTCAATAATAATTCGAAAAAACAATCTATTCAACCATGGTCTATTTCACCAACATCAAAGCCTGCTTTTTTTGTCTTTAGTCTACTTGAAGATTCACAACTTTATTCACTTGATATGCAAAATGAAACTACTATAATAGAAAAATTCACTACAACATCTGTTAAATATTGTCCATACTTAGTTTTTCATTCGCAGACAAACAAAATATTTGTTTACGACTCAACTCAAATTTTAGCTATATCAATTGATGATAAAAGCACGATGAAAGTTAATTTTCCATTTATTGAAGAAGGAAAATCAATATCGACTATGGCTATTGATAGAACTGGATATATTTACATATTGTCGAATTCAACTATTTTCAAATGTATTTGGCAATCGGAACTTCATTTCGTTGAATGTCTTGGAAAACTTGATGTCTTAATAAGCTGTCCTCAAATGATTGTAACAAATCAAGGAAATGAATTCTATTTCTCTGATATGGAAGCTGCTTATATTTATCGATCGAGCAAATAACTCTATAAATATCAAAACATGTTTCTATTATATTTAGTACAAACCAAAGTCTCTTGTCTAACGGAAAATTTTATTTTTCTTGTTTTTAAATAAATGTTACGATGAGTTCGATTGATTTGACAGGTCGTTTCTTCAATTTCATTTTTTGTACAAGAGAAAATACTGATTAATCATTTTTTTATATGAAGAATATGGAGAAAAGTAGCTATTAGCTCGTTTGTTTTAGCCAATAAATATCTGAGCAGTAAAAATGTATATATTGTTGTATGATCAGAATTAATTAAGTTAATAGTTAATGTAAGTTTTTAAAAAAATTTTCATTCGCAACGATATCTAGGTGAAAAAGACATGTATTTTCAAAAACCAAGAGATAATTTTATCCATTCGATTCTCAATGATTTAAATCATTTAATAAGCGAAGTGAATAAGAATTTTTTTTTTAAATTCCCAAATTTTGATCTAGACTACCGTACGTAATCTCCTAGTTGTTTGTCTTATAACTGTCGCACGTTTTTCTTTCAATTCTACCTTGAGATAAAATATAGTAGACGTTGAAAATTATCATCCTTGATTATATCTATAAAATTCGTTTTTTTTGTGTCTAGAACATTGTTTCATAGAGATTCTACTATTTCTGATCCAAGTTTTCATTGAATTTTGTACCAAAACTGATATCAACTCGCAAAACTATTAACTAGATCAGTAGAGTGCGTTTATGAATTGTTTGTAAGAGAAATTCAATGATGTAATAGGTTATCGCGTGCTCACTTGTATCTCATACTTGCCTTAATTGTCTTTTCAAACAATCAAAATTCAAATAAATAACCAAAATTGATTATGACTTTTTTTCACAAAGTGTTCGGCTCCGTAATGAAACGTCTAAGTTTATGCAAAGATTTGAGAAAGAAAACGTTATCGACACAATTGCCATCTTTTACTGTTAACATTCACTGATATAAGTGTGTCGATGAATGGAATATTTACTATACTTAGAATACCAACATGTCTTAACATAATCGTGATGAAGAATATTTGTTACGTAAATTGCATAAATATTGTATGTTTGCTGCGGAGATATGAAAGAGAGAATAAATATGCTTCTGATCGAGAGTTCATGTGACATGTAGAGTTCAGTCAATTCAGATCCTACGTTCACAAATAGTCTTGAATAGTACTATACAGAACAATTGTAGTCATTCTCTAGTTCTTTACGCTACTGTATATCAGGAAAATAATGATAGAATGGATTATTATAAGTACTGTATTCAGTAGTGATTCAGTATTCTATATGGAGATATATTAGAACTGTCCTGTGTCAATACTATCTGATACCGCTAGTTAAAAGAGCATCTGAAAAGACTTAAGTTTGCATTCTATCTAAACTCTTAGACGAAATAGACAGTTCGAAGTCTGGAAGAATGGCTTTCAACTGATCATATGTGGCTTATGGAGCAACTGAAAAATTCTTCACTATGACTTTTGCCAAGAGAATTTTCACTAATTTGACTCTAAATAATACGTGGACTAAAAAGTTTCTGTTGACTACATTGGTAGGTTTGTGTTTATCTCTTCCGTATTCATAAGTTTCTACAATGGCTTGAAAAAAAAGAGAAAAGTATGATATCTCATCGAATAGTCCGGAATAAACTCGGTTTGTCTTCTGTTCGAACAAAAAAAATTCAAACATAAATTAGTTGTTCGTAAAATAAACCATATTAAAAAATGTGATATTCGTTTTAGAATTAATTAAAACATTTCTAGCTAATACAATGAAAATAATCTCTTGTTTATATTGTGAGCGAATCTGTTTTTTTTTGTATTTAAAAGAGAAGAAAAAGAAAAATAATGCTTTCCAATGGGCTACTTATTCTCAAGTTCATCAATAGATCAAGACTAAGCTATGTTTTATATCGTTTTTCTTCTTCATATTCGAATAGATCCTGAGTGTAAGCAGTGATCTATACATATTCTAACAGTATTGGCTTCAGATAATACGTGTATTCTATATTGATATTGTTCTATGATAGCTGGCAAAAATCCACAATAATTTTATCAAAATATGTATAGAACTTTCATTATTGACGAAAGTCTTTAATTGATGATTTAAATAAAAAGTAGTTCTTATTATTGACTGGAGAGAATGTACAGTTGGAATATTCATCATAGTCATTGTAGACAGAAATAATTGAGTCCTGTATTATGAAGGAAAAGAATTGATAAAGAAAGTGCGCAAATATATCATGTTGTCTGCACACAATCGAAAGACGAGAGGAGCACTTGGAAGTTGAACTATTCATGTATTACATTTTATTTACAGTTATTTTGCTTGTCGGAGATATTATCAATTAAAATTGATTCTCTGGAATTTATAAAGTATAATTTTAATGAAATAAGTTATGCAAATAGATAATAATATAACTTGTCTTATAAAATTTTCATGCATTATTTGTCAAGTGATGTGAAAATATCTTAGAGTCCATGAGTTTTTATATGTATTATTTTTTTATGAACCGAATACAAAAACTAGCATGAATATTCATTGAAGAATTCATGGATAATTCCATATCATTATAATATATGATATTGTTGACTATATCTAATTATTTTTCAAAAATTGTCTAGATGAAATGCAAATTTTAGTCTTTTGAGACAGGATATTCGAAGGTCGAAAACAAACAATCTGAGTGAAGTTCATTACATGATACTACAAATGGTGGCTTAATAATTAATAATGAGACGAGAAACAATCATATTTCTTGTCAATCAATATTTTTCAATACGCTTCATGCTCCATCTCATGTGTATTCGTACTTTGTTGTCAATTGAACTGCACGACTGATCGAGTGTTGTCTCAAATATAGGGGTTATCGCAAAGAAGACAAACTCGATCAAATGGTCCATATGAGTAATCTTGCTCAACGAGAACATTAGTTTTCTCGTCAATTCTTTCAGCCGGATTAGTTGAAGTTGTATTGAAAGTAATCAAAATTGTGACACATATAAGCGTGAAAAAGCCGAATGGAACGATTTTAAAAGTAGATTATCCGGTAGGAGAATGTTTAAAATCCAGGCCAAAGATGAAGGTTCTACACTTTCAAAGCCTCCTACTTGTCTAGTCAATATACTCACTATGAAAGTCTTAATCAGTATAAATGATAAAATCAAAAAGTAATCTTCCAATATATTTTACATAACACAGTAATTTTATTGAAAAATAAAAGCTGAATTTTTCTGCCCGCACTATAAAACTTAATTATTTACTCATTCACTTTGAAAACATTGATAATAGATTGAGCAATTGTTAGAAAGGACATAATCTATTGCAACTTTTGCGCTACATTCAACGAATCTTTACCATCTTAGAATGGTTCAATATGAATTTCTTTAAGAGCTTCAATCGAGAAGGATATAAGAAAAGATTATACTAGTAAGACAACAACCTATCCAGAAAAAATTTCGATAGACTCACTATGAGATAATAGTCCAAGATGATAATCGTATTACTTTTCATAACAAAAATGGCTCAGATCTGACAATTACACGGATGTCATAACGCAAACATTCATGAGTTTTTTTTAGGATTTTTGCAGAAAATCTATGAAGTACTTCTTAGAAGATATTGGATATTAATGTGATCCTGTATATCTGTATAATATCTTCTTTATTTCAATGTATTCTATATATTAATATATTCTATTGATAAAACTGTTTCATCTATAACAAGGCTTGAATTGAGCAAAATCTGATGACCTTGATTGAGCAATTTTGATTATGAACTATGTGGAACGAATGATATAACCATAACACAAAACAAATAATTACAAATAATTATCTCAGCTAGAATTTTTTCACCTTTTCGAAAATAAATCTTATTCACTCATAAATATAATAAATGTAAAATGTTTTTTAAAATGTATTCTATGCTATTAAAAATATCTTGAAATAATCCTAAGAGTTTTCAATTAGACCAAATATTCTTCCTATTCAACATAAATAATAAAGTCTTGTAATAAATGTTTCTTTCATATAGCTATACAAAAGAAAAAATACAAAGAAACAAATCTTATTTCAATGGAATATTAAACATGAAAATTCTTATAAAGATAGATTTATCAATCGAGAATATTCAAATATATATATATATAGAATTTGAGTTAAAACCAACTTGTATAGCCTATATTTCAGTAAGATAAAATGAATAATGAAAGGAACAACAGATGTATGTCTATTGTGTTGACATAAAATTTAATTAATGTCAATAAATATCTCTCAGATAAATATGAATTGAGTATATCAAAATCAATCTATATATAATAGATTTTCACAAATAATCGCATAAAAAATACAAAAGAAAAAAATTGCAATTAAGGCATTTCTGATGACTTTTTATCTTATAAATGTATCTGATAAAAATAATACTTTTCTATATAAGAATATCTCTGATGATAGCCATTTTCAAGAGAACATTTAAGTGAAAACTAGACAATATTTCATCAAATGTCAACTTATTTAAACAAAAAAAAAAATGTTTTTTCGAAAACTTTCTATTCAATTCTAGTTGAAATATTTTTATAAAAATTATCCATAAAATATATCCTTTTGGAATGTTTATATATAATCGTTTTGATAAAAAATTGCAACAGTTAATCTAAATTTGAATATTAAAATATTAATAATAATAGAGAATATATTTAAACAATAGGTTGTTTTTAATAATAGTTTATTAAATAAATATAATCATAGGAAATAAATATATATATTGATTTGATTTCTGACACAGAATATTAATAAGAGAATGAAAACAAAAAAAGTCAATTTAATTTATTCAATGATATGTTTACTTGTTGATAATTTCGATGAATAAAATTAATTTAAGTCAATTGAGAATTAATTATGTGTTATATAATATATATTTATTAAAAGTGAATATAATCAAAGAAAGAAAAGAATAAATGATTTATTCAATTAACAATATTGAATAGACTTTCATCAATGCCAGTATTATCACTTATATTCAACAATAAATTCTCTTATTCATTTTATATAACAATTCTATTTTTCTTTTTTCTTTTTACTTCTTTTGTTTGCCTAATGTTTTTTCTCGACGAATATATTATTAATTGTTTATCTTGATTAATATTTTATCAACAAACAAAATATTTTCTAGAAAACTCCAATGATTATATTTAATGATTAACAGAAGAATTGTTTATTTTTTATTTGTGACATATAAATGGTAGAAATTCCTGTAGACATTTCTATATATAAAGGCATATTTCTTCTAACAAATGTACACACCCGGTCGACACACTAATGATTTATCTGATCGACGACATACATCATCATTGGCCTTCTCTCTTTCTCTCTTTCTCTGTTTTTGTGCTATTCGGTTATTTTTCTTCTCTAAGCCCTTGATAATTACTCGGCTCGTCGATCAATAAAGATATATATGTGTGTCGACATTCATATGTGCGTGCTTCTCAATCATTGCGTCAATAATAAACACATGAGTTAGTGATAAGAAGATCGAATTGCACGTGTATTCATGTCTCACGAATAATTCAACTCTTTACAATAAAGAAATTTTTCTCCCATTCATTCTCTTTCTATCAATATTTATTTTCTTTCGTTCGTTGAACGTGTGCCCTCTTTGTGTCGAAAGAGAAAAAAAAAAAAAAAAAAAAAAGGAGAAAATGTCCGTTGTCCCGTTGAGTTCACCTTTATCGTCATTGGGCAATAATGTTAATGTTAAGAATGAAAAGGATTCTTCAAGCGTATCGTCTCTTCTTTTCGACTATACATTATTAAATTCAATCATTGAATCAAATCAATTTGAAAAAAGTCTTGAACTTTATTCATTAATGTTGAACAGTTGTTTAAATAATGAAAAAAAAATCTCTTTTGAGATTTTAATTAATAAATTTATTGAAGAATATTCAAATATTGAATTAAATGAATTAAAAGAATTAATTGAAATATTTGAAAATAAATATATTCATTCATTTATTAATACATATGATTTAATTATTCAAGATCATTATCAAGATAAAATATCTTCATCAAATGTAACATTTCATTTATCTGATGATGAAAATTCATTAAAAAAAGATCATGTAAGTTTTATTTTATTTTATTTTATTTTATTAAATATTTATAATAAAAAACTAGGATAAAGAAAAAGATGAAGAAATTAGTCCAATATCAATGTTATGTTCATCGAAATTAATTGATGAAGAAAAAGAAAATTCGAATTATGCATCAAAATTAGTTGAATATAATGTTAGTCGTTTAAAAATAGTTCGTTTAGAAAAACGTCAAGGTGAACCATTAGGTGCAACAATATCTCGTTTAACAGATAATGATTATCGAATATCAATAGCTCGAATTGTTCATGGAAGTATTGCACAAGGACTTTTTTCAATAGGTGATCAATTACTTGAAATAAATAATATTTGTTTACAATCTCAATATCGTACACTTGATGATATTGTTCAATTAATTGATTCTCTTCATGGAACTATTTCATTTCTTATTTTACCAACATCAGAACAAATACATCATGGAATACATAATCAAGCTTTTTATCATAATCAAGGTTTTTTTTTTTTTATTTTTTATGAAAAATATTTTTGTTTTTGTGTTTTTCTTTAGATGATTGTTCATCAATATATGTTCGAGCATTATTTTCTTATGATCCATATGATGATATGTATATACCATGTCGAGAATTAGGTCTTTATTTTGAAAAAGATTCAATATTACATATTGTTAATCGTGATGATCCATCATGGTGGCAAGCATTTATTATGGAAAATGATAAAAATAATAAAAAACAACAATTACCTGGTCTTATACCATCAAAACAATTTCAAGAAAAACGTTTTAAAATAGTTAAATGTTTGTTAGATGAAGAAACAACTCATTCAAAAAAAAAATTTAAAGATAAATTTAATAAATCAATAAGTCAACAATCAACAAGACAAAAAATATTGACTACATTCAGGTTTAATATTGAATATATATATATTTAAAACTAAAAAAACCGAATCTATCTAGTTTTAGTATATATGAACCAGTTGAATGGTATATACCAAATGAATCCCGTAAACGACCAATTGTTTTAATTGGAGCTCCACATATAGGTCGACATGAATTACGACAACGTTTAATGAATTCTTCACAATTATCATCATTAATTGATGTTGCTGTACCACATACAACAAGATTAAAAAAATCCGATGAAATTGATGGACGTGATTATCATTTTATAACACGTGAACAATTTGAAAAAGATATTTCAAATGATTTATTTGTTGAACATGGTGAATATGAAAAAAATCTTTATGGAACATCAAAATCAGCTATTGAAATATGTTGTCATAGATTAAATAAAATTTGTATTCTTAATTTATTATCTGAAGGACTTGATTCATTAAAATATTCAAATATATTACCTTTTGTTATTTATTTAAAATGTCCATCAAATATTGAAAAATTACGAGAATATTTTTATGTTAGTGAACAACAATGGATTGATATTGAAGATAAATCTCGTCTTATTGAACAAAATTATTCACATTTATTTGATAAAACAATTTATTTAAGTGATTCATTTGATTATGTTTTTTCTCAATTAAAATTTTTAGTTAAAGATGTACAAACAAGACCTATGTGGGTTAATCAATGTTGGTTTTCTCCTAGAGAACGTTTTTAATAATAAATTTATTTATCGCATTTTTCACCAACTTTTTCTTTTTTTTTTTTTTTCTTCAAACTTTTTCATTATTTTCTATCCGTATATATATATATACAGTATTATTTGTTTTTTTTGTTTTTAATCAAATTAAAAAATTTAACAGTTAGGATTTAACCATTCATGGTAAAACTGTTAGACTTTAAAAAATTGAACCTTTGCAAGAAGAAGAAGAAGGATGAGAGAGAGATTTTGAGAAGACTCAGATATTTAAGAAAATTTTACGAATTTCTTCCTTTATTTATATAAGACTACTAAAAACTGATTGAAAAATGATTGTCTTATTTCTTTTGATTGCTTTTATATTTGATAGATATTTATAATTAACAATTAAATAAAAATATTTCAATTATGTTATTAGTTTTTGCATCAAAACTGACAGTTCAATATGATTTACTCGTTTTTTTTTTTTAATCAAGCTCTTTTATAATTTATCTATTAGATTAAAATTTTCTATATTGAACAAATCGATTACAACTGAAAAAAGTTGATTTTAATCTACTATAGTATACTGTGTCATGTGATGTCACAGTTTTTCTCCTATTGATATATCCTTCTAGTTGATGGACATTTTTGTACCGTCATCTGTAATTAATAATCAACCTTGAAAACTAACTGACAATAACAACTGGTTTCGACTGAAATCTGTCATTGTTTTCGAGCTGGTTGAATCTCATGGATGCTAGCCTGTTAGTTCTAGTTTTTCTATTTTTGCTTTAGGTTACGTTTAACTTTTCTATGTCTACATTAATTGTATGTTTAAAATGTTAGTACAATAAAACATTTCATTATTCATTTCTTTCATGTCACCTTGCTATTTTCGTTTTTAAAAGACTTTTAGCCTTACAGAGAGCAGCATTGTTCTAACGCCTCGTGTTCTATCAAATACAGTAACATTATGCATGGAAAAAACGTATTAATACTATGAACCATCAAATCCACATTAAAATAATGTGTGACAGAGTATGATGGAAGTAGAAATCTGATGATTGGATTCGGTGATCGACTCTCTCTGTTTACTAGTAGTCTCAATCCAAACTAGAAAAATTTAACTATCGGATTCAATTACCGGTTTCCTAATAAGTTATCATCTGGATCTTTGACCAAGATTCGCCTAAATTTTCTTGTGCAAGTCAGTTTTTCATAATCTTCGTTAATAGATTGTTATTGATTATGCAGTAATGCCTCTTGAAATCAATAAAAAATCTGAGAAATGAAAAAATTCCTTAGGAAATAGGTTTTGTCTGTCGTTTAGCATTGATATGTCTTCTTTTGAAAATTTAAACAAACAGCATTTAAATGAATAGGAATATTAATATTGTTTGACTCTTCTTGTCTTTTGATAAATAAAAACAAATCATTGAATATAAAGTGGTTTTTGTTTTTCAGAAAAATAATCGATAATGAATTTTAAAGAAACTCATTAGAACAAAATCATCGTTAAAAAATTTCAATTATTAATTATAACAAATGAATTAACTTATCGAAAGATATTATTTGAATGTTTATTAGTTTATTTATTAAATAGATCAATATTTAAAAAACAAAAGAATAAATAATATATTTGACAGAATTATTTCCAAAGAAAATAGTTAGTGGAAATTTTAAGTCGAAATTTTTCGGCTTCCTTCAATCTCACCGTGCAACATTACAGATATTATTAATCGAGAAAAAAAAACCTAAATGCAATTAATGACATGAGGTTACAGCTCTAGACGATTCGAGATCAGTCTACACCCTTCATCAAAACTTCAATAGCGGATATACGTTTATTAGTATTTTACGCAATGCAGTTTTTGATTTTCTTGCTGATAAACATTTATATTCAAGATGTCACAAATGATGAGTACTGACGCATTCATTTACCACAATTTGTCAAATACTCAAGATAAATGCAGTAACTTTAAATTCATAGATATATTAATAATGAGTATATATGAAATAATAATTGTATAAGATTGAGTATTTTGTGATATAACAAACAACCAATAATAGAGAGAAAGAAAAAGAAGAATAAATGATCGAACACTGATCCTTATTGATTCATGTTTACGGTTGTATTCATGTAGAAAGAGGTATCATTCTTCGTTAATTGCTCTCTTTTTTATTGTTTCATTCTTTCTGTGTCCTATCACAAATAATCTAGTCTACAACAATTATTATTTTATACACTTATAGTTATTTACGATTTTACTTCGAACATATTTTGATAATAAAGAGTTATATGCAAGAACACTTATAAGATATTCCTCGTGTCATCAAGACCTACGTAGAGTCAAGAAACACAAACAGAAAGCTTGTAATCAGCTGGAACAAATTTCTCTTGATTTATTTCATTTAAAAGATAGAATAGCCATGTTTTAGAAAAAAAACAATAGATTTTTGAACTAAGAAGTATTGTGTCGAGTAAAAACTGGCATTAATAACATCGAAAAACCAATTATTCTCAAATAGTTGACAAAGTTCTATCAAATGATATATAAATAAACCAAAGATAAGATAATGTGGAAAGTTTGAATTGCGTGATCCTCACAAAATGAGGTAGTGACATTAATGATTAGTTTGTTTCGCCTACAAATGATAGGAATGTTGTTACTAAACGATGCAACGGTTCCGTTTTTTTCCATATAATCGGTGATTCATCACTGTACTTTTCTAATTGTCTGAGTTCTTCTTAACTCTTCACTTTTCTATTCCAAGAATTTTCAATAAAACTAAGCCTCGAAAGCATCATATGTGTCTCTCCATCTATAGCATCGACAATGTCTTTTTCGTGTACAATCACTATCTGACAGATAAATAGATAATTCATTTTAGTAAATGTGCGATACTTTTTATGTAAGAACACTGAATCAATAGTAGAGTAACACGTTGTACTTCAAGTAGATACTTATTTTAAGTTGAACTGAACTAAATAGAGTATCAATAAAACATACAAATAAATGATTGGCTTTAAGTAATTTAACTGCAATTATTTTCATATGTTTCCATAATTCTTTTTTTTTTATTCATATTTTATTTAGACAAAGTTTTTTGAACTTATAGAAATCCTAAGTCACGAACGCAATCTATTAGTTTACACAATGAGGGAATAAGAAATAACTCTCGTACTTGATATTTACTCATGAATTTCATGTTCGAATAGATTCTAGACGGGACACGACATACTACTGTACTCCGAAAAGTCGATGGAACACGGAAGTGTATTGTAGTAGATCATTTTCTCTTCGATTTTACATTACATTCGATGTACTTCATTGTAGTCCGTATACTCCACGAGTACGAAACTACGTCATTTTTGGATTCTCTTTCTCCTCTCTAACAAGTTTCTTGCTGGATATCGAAATTATCATTATCCTATACTAAAATGTTTAATCTCTGAATAAGAGATTGTTTTCAATTTGATATGTTAACCTATGTAATGTAGAACTTTCTATGAAAACTAAAACGTATCATAGATTTTAAATACTATTAAAGAATTGCTAAGAAACATTCTAAGATAAGAAAATCGATCAAATTTCGTAAGGATTACTTTCTTTTGTTTTTGGTTTTGAAGAAGAAGTTTTTCTTGAGATTCTTCCTATGTTGTTTTTTTCAAAGTTTAGACAATTCGAACCTTGGTTAAAAAGATTCATTTGTGAAAAGTGAAATGAAAATTGAACTAAAGTATCTTCTATTAGCGGACATGTATAAATAGTCAATCACAATAATAAATCGTCAATCGAAGAATTGAAAAATGGTTTAGAACAATAGTTGCACAGACAAAATAAATAGTTTAATGATATGATACATAGGATTAATGATAGTTTGTTGAGGATTAACAACCAGTTCGTGTTGAATAAACTTAACGTGGCAATAAATGTACTTATCTAGAAAGAGTAGTATATTTATTCAAGTAGCACACTCTCTCTATCGACAGATTCTCTACTCTTGTTATTTTAGTGAAATATACGCTTCAAGAGCTCAACTGTTCCATTAATTTTGTTAACATAAAAACAAATCGATAGTCATATATGGTCGGTTAAGCTGAAAATATCTTCTTTATTTACATTGAATAGTTGAAAAAGGCACATATGTTAATACGTATATAAAAAAGATGAAGAATTAAAAAGAAAAAAAAATTGAATTAAATAAGTGAAGATTATATCTCTAACCAGAGTGCTGGTAGAGCAGGTGGGATCCAATCTGATAATGATGTGTGAGCTTGTCGACATCGATATTTTTTTCCTTGATATATTACTTTATTGTTAACTAAATATGAAATGTAAGGCTTCCATTCAGAAATATTGTTCTCATTCGATGATTGAGTTGTTGTTGTTGTTGTTGTTGTTATTGTTTTAAATGTTGATGAAGTTTCAAGTTGCCAAAATGAATTTTTCGAATTTGGCTTATTTTTTCCTGTTGATTTATGTTGTTTAATACATCGATAAATATTTTTTTCATATATAACTCGTTGTCCAATATAATATTGAATATTTATTTTCCAAGGATAAACTTTATTATTAGGATAAGAAGTTGATGATGGATTAGTTGTTACTGGTGGTTTAATATTATTATTTAGCAGATTAAATGTTGCACCGATTAATTCTGCCTGACGATCACTACTCAATTCCCAGAAAAATGCCCCAGCTAAGTTGTTTTGTTTAATATAAATAGTTTTCAATGTAATTGATTCAAGGTTATCATAACTAATCCAAAGACCCGTTGATGAATTGAAAATAAATGGTACTTTTGATTGATTGTCCCAATAATGTTTATTCGATGAAATAAAAGATTTTTTCAAATGATCATAATCATAAACACCATTTTCCCAAGTACCACTTGGAAGTTGATTCGATGCTGTTTGTGAAAATCCATTAAGAGCTGTATTTTTTACTCCTAAAATAAATGATTTTATTATGATAAATATAAATTGTTAAAATGAAACCTTGCCAACCACGTCCATATAAAGGTAAACCCATAAGAATTTTCTTTGTCGATACTCCAGCTCTAATATAAGCTTGAATTGATTCATGACAATTATATTTTGATTTGATGAATGATGGAGGAATATCACTTGTTTCTTCATTGTTATTTTTATATAATGGAGCATTGTGACCTGTTTTTGATTCCGAACTACCTAAAAATTGATCTTATTTTGTGAAATAAATCATCAAAAAAATTTTAATTATAAAACAAACCATGAAAATCGTAAGTCATTACATTAAACCAATCAAGATATGTACTCATACCAGGTAAATCCATATCATAAATACGTTCAGTACCTGCTCCAGTTCTATCAACAATTTTTATACAATTTAAAAAATGTTTATTGAAAACCTATTTTACTTACGCTACCGTTAACAAATATTTCTTATTGGGTACGGCATCCAGATGACGACGAATTTCTTTTAATAAAAGAACATAATTTTGTTTATCTTCTGGACGACGAGTATTGCCTGGCAACCCACCAGAAACAGGATATTCCCTACAATTAAAACACATTAGTTTTTTGAAAATATTTTCTGATAACTACGACATCATTAGAATTTTTAATAGAATGAATCTTTTTTTTTCTCTATAAATAATATTAATAGTCTTCGTTGCATGATAGAATTTTCTACCATAATAATGTATATTTATCCGTTTCGATGACATTTACTTTTACTTATAAATATAGAATAGTAATCCATAGAAACTAGAACTTGGAAAATTTCTCTTTAAATAGGAATATATTATTGTGAAATTTTTACAAAAAAATATCTTTTAAACATTCTTAAATATATCTCAGTCATTTTGTCCGAATGTCTTCTACAATAATAGATTAATAAATTTGAAAATTTTTTATATAAATGAATAATTACTGTTTTTGTGAATAATATTGTATAAATTTAAATATTATAGTGTGAAGCTTTTTTGTTTGATTTTCATCGATTAATTTACTCACCAATCTAAATCTACCCCATCAAAACCATATTATTAATGAATTCGAGACATGAAGCAGCAAATGTTGATCGACTTTGATCAGTGAGAGCTACATCAGAAAATTTACCTGACCATGTCTATTAAAACAAATCATATATATATATAGTTGTTTGAAAACAAAATAACTTAAACACAAAAAAACTTTACCCATCCACCAACAGAAATAAGTGTTCGTAAATGTGAATATTTTTCTTTTAATTTAATTAATTGATTAAAATTTCCGCGTAATGGTTGATCCCATCTATCACCATTAAATGTTTTCTCAATATCTGCCCATGAATCACCAAGAGTAATACGTCCATCGAAACCAATGTTTGCAAATGCATAATTAATATGTGTTATTTTATCTCCTGGAATATCAGTCACTATATATGAACGTTGATAAATCGACCAAGCAGTAAAATAAGCAAGAATAATTGGACCAACTACCATTGTTTCGGTTTTCTCATCTGAAAAAAAGAAAAACAAATATTTCTCGTGTTAACTTATATAGGAGAAAGAAAAATAGATACATATCGAGAATTATATTTGACGACATATCTACTCTTTTATTATCTTGACGTAACAATCAACATTATGTTTATCGTGAGAAATATATCAATTGGTGGGAAAATCTCGTCTGATACGAATGATCTTTTACTCTTATGTTAGAAAATAAACATAAATATATGAGTCATTTTTACTAAATAATGACAATGTAAATGAATAAGAGATTTTTTTCGAGAGAGAGAGAGAGAGATTATTCCGTGGGGAAGAATTCGAATCATGACAATCTCTCAACTGTTTAAGAGCTTTTTGACATCATTTTTTGACTGTTAATATCTTTCATTGACACTAGGAAAAACCCACCAAAGCGCTTGTGCTCATACTTCTTTCCTCCCTAGATAGGACCAAATTTATGTCAAAAATATCAACTAAACTAAATTATGAAATACAGAAAATCTACTAGTAAAATATCTTGTCTCAAATACTTTTTTAATGTATAAAAAATACAAAAGAATGATGTTATATCTATGTTAATCTATCAGTGCGTAACAAAGTAGAAATTTATTGAATTATAAAGAGTAATTCGTCTAGAACTGATGAAAACATAACATTCTTCTTCGTTGTATACCAACGAGTCGAAAACAAAACTAATGTCCATTTCAGAGTTAAATGACCGTGGGCATTTTTTGAATAACTTTTGATTGGGACGAAATAGAAATCTCCGATTTTCACCGTTGAAAAGAGCAGATAAAGACCCATCGAACTATATATAGAAATATATTTCTAACTATTTTCCTATAGGTTTAGTCAAAAGTGTTCAAAAAATTGCTTTTTCTCCTACGTTAAAAAAGTGACTTTTTTTTATCAAAATCCGACAAAAATTTACATTTTTCGATTATTTTGTTGAAAAAAAAATGAGATGGTAAATTGTGTTCCAATAGTTTGGATATCATAGTGGTAGTAGTTAGGAACAGTGTCTTGATTTAGTTTTGTAGCCCTTTCTTTGGCGATTCTATCACACTCCTGAAAATCAATAAATTAATATCGTGACCATGATAAGCATCCTCTTTTTATTGAAGTTTCATGTAAAACATATAGGAAAGTAGTTAGAAAAATCTTTCTATACATAATTCGATGCGTCTTCATCTGCTCTTTTCAATGGTGAAAACCGGGGATCTCTATCTAGTTCCTATCAAAAGTTATTCAAAAAATGCCCACGGCCATTTAACTCTGAAATGTACATTAATCATACATATTATGTATCATTTGATTGGTCGTTAGCTTGGCTATATTTTAGCTATAACATTCTATATTTATTTTCTCAATACTTTAATAATATGATCATTCCATTTTGATGACATATTCCCTAAATCATAGTATGCATTCATGCAAAAAAAAAGTTCGAAAAAACAGAATTCCCAAAAGCAACCATATGTAGAGCTTTAGTAGAAAATCAACTGCTATGCAGCATGCACTTGATCCGACCTTATCCATTTTTCATCTTAAAAAAATGAGAAACAAAAAAAGATAAATGATTGCGCTTTTTCAATAAATAAGAAGAGAGTATTGACATGATGTTACCATATTGTATGAAAGTGAGCTCACATTTCAATAAAACTTTCAGCGTTTGTAGAACTTTTAATTCTAATCATTTTAATAAAAAAAAAATTTTTTTTTTTAAAGTTTTTGTTTTCATGAAGATAGACTCAAAATACTTTAGGCAGTGAAATACCAAAATATCTCAAAAGCTTTTTCTTTTTTTGTCACATAGTTTTGACAAATAGGTTTCGACAGTTAACTTCAATCAAACAAAATCGAAGAGCATATTAAGATTTTTCACGAGACAACCAATCGAGCCATTCTAAACTTGACTTCAATATGAACAAAAAGTTCAATGTTGAATATTTTCTGATTGTTAATCGGTGACACAATAATACCATCGAGAAAAAAAGAAATTAATAGTGTACAGAAAACATATTCAGTTGCAGCTCTTCTTATTTTATGAAATCTATTTTTTCTTAAAGCATGTTCTGCATACGGAATATTAAAAATTTGCGTGATACCAACATTTTAATTGTGATTAGTAACGATATTAATACTTGTTTAGACAATTTTTTGTAATTTATTGTTAGAACGAATATTAATGATGATCTGAGTCTTCTGAAAATTTCCTGTCGTAAAATAATCCAACTAAATGATCATTAGAATATGTCTGGATATGATCTTCACGTCGAGTCATACTCTCTTATTTTTGTGTCATTCTTATTGCAAATAAAATCATTAACAGTGATGACAATCTATATTGATGTAAATGAAGTGATTGTTGCGAATGCTCGACATCGTTAAGTAGCAGAACATAATTGATAATCGATCATGAAGAGAAAAGTCTCCCTTCACATGATATTCTATGATGAGTTTGCATGATTAATTGTTCATTTTTTGATTAGAAGACAAAAATGGATACATTTTCAAATACTCTTCTTCTACAGATATTATTTTTTTTATCAAGATAGAATGTAAAGATCTTTATTTTATTCTAGAATTTATTTTCTTAATTAATCTACATAATTACTACAATAGTTTAAACACATTTCTAAATAACATTTGAATAAAGAAAGTGTGGATATATAAGTCTTAAGACCTTTTCAAAAAATTATCAGTCAAATAATTATAGATGATGATGCATCAATCACTTGGACAATTCTTGAACAAACTAAAGATAATGACAATCTTCCAATAGAAGAATATGATTAACTGTCATCTAAACTGGTGCATGTTCTATCATAGAAATACTTCTCGACATTAGTAAAAAAATATGTTTGATTGATCAAAGAAAAGCTTTTATCTTGGATTTTTTTAGAAAAAAAACAGGGAAAAATTCTTTCTCTAATATGAAGACTCAATAAAATCGTAGATTCATTCATTTATTGAAAATAATATGTTAATTTATCTGTCATAAAAAGTTCAGCAGGTCGATCTTTGTTTGTTTTTCTGATGATAGAGTTTAATTTGTTCTTCTATTGCTTCCCGCCTGATTGCCTCTTCTGTTTTGCCTTGCATTATATTAGCCCACAAACGATCATTTCCCAATGTTACACCTTCAAATGATTGCCCATCTTCACTCAAAGTAATTCGATATTGATCGAGAGCAATTAAACCTTCAGCACTAACGTCTTTTCTCACACCGTGAAATTCCATTTGACATTTATCTCTATGAAATGTACCTTCGACAAATTCTCGACCATAATCTCCAATCCGATGAAGAATATGTGAATTTTCTGGAGCTTTTTCTAGCGACCATAAAATATATCCTTCAATGGGCACAGTTTGTTTTTCTTCCTTGTAGTCGCCTTTGATTTTAAGTGTCATCTTGAAATCATATGTGTAACCATGTGTTGGATTTATCCATTTACCGACAAATTTGAATTCATCAGACGAAATAAATGTATCGATTCCTATCTTGAGAAATTTTACTAAATTATCAAGGCAGTAATACTGAGCTTCGCGTAAAAGTTCATTTTGAACAATTGGATCAGAAGGAATATCAATGTAGCTGTCACGTAAATAATTCAAGATGTATCGAAAATGTTGACCATCTCTGTCGATGAAGATACGCTTTTGTTGATCATAAACTAGCGGAAACTGAAACAAAGATTTGAGCATTGATTCTTGAGAACACAATGTCGCCTTCGATGTTGTATAATATGTACCACCGACGTTTAGTTGAATTATTTCACTTTCTTCGTTAGTCATAGAACGTGTCTAATGATGCATTTCAACTGCAAGGGAAGAACTCTTTTCAATATAAAGAAAATCAATTCAGCAAGCATCAACATAGTCTGACTGATTGATTACAAAAGTGAAATAAAAAAGCAAGAGGTAAACAGTGGAATTTTGGAATCCTAATTTTGAGTATTTCCTTGGACTACACAAGATTCTTTTCTGTAATCTGAAATTTCTCAAGATTTACAGTAAGTATCTAGTTCAAAGTCTATTAATGGCTAATTAATTGTGTGTGTATATCTGTACTTGTGTATATTGTCGATACACAATTACAGACAATCTGGCAATAGTAATATATCTAAGAAGTTTTAGACTTCGAAATTCTATAGAGTTCCTAAGAATTACTAAAACTTTCTTCAGATTCTCCTATTTTGGTGAGTTTCATAAAATTACAGGATTTCATTAGTTTTTGATGAAAGACTATCGTTAACTCAAGTCGAATATAATCATTCTACCGTAAGAAATAATTCAGTGCTATAAATTGGTACCCTTAGTGGCTTACAATATTATTTTATGCTTATTTTTTCTTTTTTTCTAGTTCCATCTAGCGTTTTCTATAGTTCTAAGGACGTATCTGCTCTGCGCCTGCATGTGATTGACAGTGAAATGCATTTCTTATGTCTTTTTTTTCTATTTTTGTCTTCCGAGATTTTCGTCTAATTTCTTTTCTCATTTGATTTTGGTGTGCACATATGACTTACATCTTTTTGTCATTCAACTGCCGTTATTATTCATCAGTGTCATACTTTTCTGTTTATGTGTGTACTCTTTCTGACTGCATCCCTACACTCAAGAGAATAAATTCAACAATCGGACCTTATCAAAGTCCTATGAAATTCCGTAGAGTCGATTGACAAAATCGCATTTGAATCCATAGAATTGAAATCTTGTTTGTTTATACCATCTGTCTTTCAAAAAACCCTAGTGCACAATCAGAGCAGTTCCAACAATGGAATGCCATTAGAATACAGTCAAATATCATCAGCCCTTACTAAAGCTAAAAAATTCATACTATACGATCGCCTAGTTTGCTTAGATTGAATAATCCCATGGTTAAATCTTGTTCAATGTTACTGCTAAGTTTCATTGAATGTTTCACTCTTTAGAAAAGAAACTCTGAAGAGTCTTTTAGGATTCTAGATTTTGATCGATAGGAGAACCTTTTAAAAATGATTTTGCACAAAAGAACAACTAAACTTCAAAGATTTCGCAGCATCCTTGTGGTTTTAGAGAGTAGATCGATGATGATGACCTCGGAATCTAACGGAACGATCGAAAAGTGATGACTTTTTTGGCGTAGCTCTAGTCGGTGCTTATGAATAGATCGTTGGATTAAATAGAAATTGTGCTTGTACTCAGAATTTTCGATCTTGAGAATCTAACTAACGAAAAGTTCTGTTTGAGAAAAGAGCCTCACTTGAAAATGTTAAACCACTGCTTGCCAAAAACTCTGTGTTTCTACATTTGTTCTACAACCAACCGAGTTTCAACAAAGTTTTCCTGTCTTTCAGTACGATGAAAACATGGTTTTGTTCCAAGTCGCTCGAGAGACAGCTCCAGCTAATTCCTTGATTGACTTGAAAAACACATTCGTTTCTCCTTACTGTAGTAGAAAAAATCCTTTCGATAATCCGATTTGTTGAAGAGAAAATGTTAGAACATAGATTTTTTAATGTCAACGAAGTTTACTAAAACTTTATAAAGAATCGATCTCTTTTTTAGAAAACAGTTTTTTTTCCTAGTCAGAATATGAAGATCACAAATCACGAGAAATTATGTTGTAGTTCAGATTTCTCGACTTTGAAAATGTTTGATCAGATTTTATAAAGTAGAATTGTTTGAAAAATAGTCTTTCCGTGATAAACTGACAAGTTTCTCGTTACCTATTACTACTACTTAACAACTGATAATGCAACGATCGAGTAACGATAAATTCTCTTAATCGAATCTTACAGAATCTGATTAAATTCATTACGAGATTCAATTAGTTAGGTAGAGCATGTATGTAGGCTGTGCATGAAAAACAAGATTTAAGTGTCAAGCCTTCACAGATACTTTTTCAAAATATTCGCTCATCATAAGCGACATAGTAATTCTAGTACAGCAAGTTCCGAAGTTCAACTCCTAGCTTTTATATATCGAACGCAAGGCTCTTTGTGCTTTAGAAACGTTCAAGTGACATTTATATTAGATTGAATCTATCAGAGTAGCCCAGAATCAATATTATGAGATATGGTGGCTTACTCTAACGATTCGATGAGTATTTATTTCAATGGTGTGCGCTTCAAGGATGAAAGCAATAGCAAGTTTCACGGAGAAAGTCGATTCAAACCAAAAGAGAAAGAGTGTGAGAGCGAAGAACCTCTATGTGTCTATCTAACGTAAATATGAAAGGGACTGTGGAACGATTCTTAAGAATACGTTATTTCGTACATATATGAGCTGATTAACTATCGCTAAAAAACTTGACAACTGTAGTGAACAAATCGATTTTGGTTCACTGTGCTCTACAGTGTTTAATAATCTAGTGAATTGTGGTACCTAGTCTAAAATCATAGTATCTGACCTGCAAGAAGTCTTCAGATTAGTTTTGGATGCTTCCATCAAGGGAGAATGCTTGCGCTCTGTACTCTATCGTCAGTGTCACGAAAACGAGAGAGCGTTATGCTGTAATTTCAAGCAATCTTGCCAAAAATTGCCAAACAATTTGAAATTACAATTTTTCTCTTTAATCTCTCTGATACACAGCAATGAAAAATGGTTACGATTGCTTTTTTCAGCTTGTTTTACGTTGTAATGGAAGAAAAGAAAAACGAAAAGGGCCAATTATGTATTTTCGGAGCACTAATGGGTTGCTGCATGAATGTGAAGTGGAAAACAACGACAAAATAATATGAATCCGTTGTTTTTCTTTTTCTTTTCTTTTGTAATCAATAAACTTATCAGCAGACATTCTTTTTCTTTTTAAACTACGACATAATGTGCCATACACGATCATCTTTGATAAAAAAAAAGAAAAAGAAAAAGAAAGTATGAATTATGCAAACTTATAGAGCATATTCAAAGTCGAATATAGAGCGTGATTCTTCAAATAATAGTTACAAGAGACGGCGATCGTTTACAGCGATAGATTAGGATAATAGTTAATTTAAAAGGAAAACTTTAGTAAGTGTTCATGGTATAATGACTACGAACTTCTTATATGATTTCTTCGCAGATAATTCGCTTATGTTTTATCAACTTTCGATTCCAATTTTTTTCAAAACTACTAAGGCTAGAGTCTCGAAATTTGGTACACAAAATGGATGATACAAAGTTATTTAACACCAATAAGTTTCATTTCAATTATGTTTATACTTTCCCTTTTTATGAAATAAATCTATGCTGTTAATACACTTACACAAAAACATTCACTTTTTTCGACGGTATCGGAAATATTAAATTTCATGTAAATTCCTCCCTTGTGAAGAGATATGTTTATCAAGAAATTTGTACCAGATAGGTGAAGCTATCTGATTGAAAAAAAGGCATTTTGAAAAAAATATAGCGTTGCTCCAGAACTATAGTTAAAATACTACGGTAACGCATTCACGCTTTCTTTTGAAGACTTTATTTCATACATCTGAAGTGTGACATAGATTCCTTTTGTTTTCTTTACAATGAGAAAAAAAGTCCGTCTACAGTAATTTAATCTCAATGTTATTATTTTGCTTTTGAAAGAATATTTTCTGATTTTCTGTTTCTTGAGATTTGTGTAATAGGAAATGGGACCTTTCGATAGATGCATCGAGAAAGAAAAGAATTAAAGAAAAACTAGAATTCTTATATTTTTGAATTAAGTTCTATAAGGATGAATCAAAAATGTTTTCGTACTTATTGATCTTTAGTCTCGAAAGGTATGCTTTTATTTATATAGATCTTGTTCATTTTCTAAGAAATATTTTGCATTGACTAGTAGATAGAAAATAAAATATCTTTTCCAGATGATATATTAACATGAAACTTTCAATGGGAAATCTCTAGTAAATACCAGTTATTTCTTTAGGAGAATAAAGTAATTCAAGTTTTTCAAGAAAATTTCGTATTTAACTATTAATCCAACGACATGTTACATATTCTTTATTATTGAAGATTGAATTTGATTTACATGAGCTTCTTCGAACCAATGCAGCTAATGTTCAATAAATGTGGTGATTGCTCTACTTAAAAGAATTGTCAACTTTTGATAAAATCCTTTAATACATAATCATTTCTTATTCATGGTGCAGCGCATAATGTAACAGAAGAATATATTGAATATTTGTGTATCGTTGTATTCAGACGTTTGTTGCAGATACACTAAGATAATAAGCATAACTAGAAAAATGAAAACTATCAATAAGCAATAAACAATAAATAAAAAAAACCAATAGAAACAAAATGAAAAAGTAACTTAATCTAATTGATTGAATATATAAAAGTTCAATAAATAAAAAAATAAATTAATATAAAGATAATTTATTTCTAAACAATGAAAATAATGTCATATCCATTTCAACAATATTTTATCTAAAACTGATATAATTCATTATTTGTTTATATTTCTATATTAATATAACCTATTCTCGTTGTATTTATTTAATAATAATAATTGTTGTCATTTAAATGAATATTGATTATACTATCATTAGATAAAGACAACAAGAGTTAATCAAAGACTATTTTTCTTTCTCAATTATTTATTATGTTCACTTATAAAATAAGTATCATTAATGATGTTTTGCATATAATACTGATGTTTGAAAATAATCATAGCAAATATAGAATGAGTTACATAAAACAATTCTTAGATTTTAACGAATTATCTCGTCGTTTAAATGCTTTTTAATATTAAAATTCAATTTATTTCAATAATGTTTTTATTAATAATTGAATAGAGTTCTTTAAATTTATTGACAAATAAGCGTACATCAATAATATGTTGATTAAGATGTTTTTTGAATGTCTTATCTGTGTGATATGTCAATTGTTTTTTTAACTAGTTGTTGGTATTCTTTTCTCAGCTTAATTCTCTCAATTAAAGATTTTCTCCAACAGAAACTCATCCACAAAAACATTGGAACAATACTATTATAACAAGAAACAAATATTTAATACATTTCTGTTTGTATTAGTTATTCTTTTTTATAAATTTCTGTACAGACGGAATCAGTAAAGATTTATTTTCATTGAAAAGACAAATAATCAATCAGAAAGCAAAATTATGTTTTTTTTTTTAAGAAGAGAACTGTATTAAGACGTTTGGTTACATTAAGAAAAGAAAACTTGTTGATTTAATAAAGCTTACTCTATTGTAAAGTATGTTGAATCTTGTTGAAGCTGAAAAAAAAATCTAAAGATACTTTTTATTTAAAATAAGTGTAAAATATTTGGCTATATTAAACAATGGCATCTTCACCAAATTTATCATCAAAATATATCGTTTTATCGTATAATAAAAAGCATGAGGAACTTGTCTTAAATATTTATAATTATTTGAAAAATGAAAATCTTCCAGTATGGATTTATGTTCAAGATGGAATCAATAAAGATATATGTCAAAGGTATTTAAACAGAGACAATAACAATAACAAAAACAAAATCGATATATAATTTAATTCTAGTAGGGATAGTATTATCGAGAACATAAGTATTCTTCTATGTTTCATAACACCGATGTATCAAGCTTCAAAAGATTGTCAAAAACAAGTTGAACTTATTAAAAGTGAACAAATACCTATTATTGCTTGTCGTCTTTTACCTAATTGGAAACCATCTGGTTGGCTTAGTAAGTTTTTCGTTTTATGTTTTTGTTCTTTATTGATAATTCAATTTATTCTAAAACTAGATAAAATAACAAGTGATCAATTAACAATTGATTTACAAGGTATTAATCAGAGAAATTTTAAAGATAAAATAAATAAATTACGAGAAAAAATAATCTCGGTGTTAGATAACAAGATTAATTCTCAAATATCATTTGATTATTCTGTTGATCAATTTTTAATAGGTTTGTTTATTAAGAAAAAGAAAAAGAAAAAAGAAAACCGAAATATGTTGTTAAATAATTCTAGATCGATCAATATTATTCAATGATTCAAATATGTTTTATTTAGTTGAAAATATAGATTTAAATAGTATTAAGAAAAAAGCATATAAATATCGAATACTTCCAAAATATTGTCGTTTATTATTATCAAATATAATGATTACTAATAATGAATATATATTAATAAATGCAAATAATCATTTACATTTATTTGATGGAAATTTAAAACTTATTCGATCTAATAAGAATAAAAAAATCTTAAAAGATGATCTTAAAGATTTCAGTTGGTCTTCAAATTCAAATTATTTTATAATATTAATGAAAAAAGAAATATATTTATTAAATCCATTAACATGTCATATATCAACTATTGAATATATTAAATTAAAAGATCATCGCGAAGAATTTTTATCATGTACTTGTTCAGAAGATAATTTATTTATAATAAAATATAAATTTAATTCAAATACATATTATCTTGAAATATATTATTTATCAACATTTCGTTTTATAAAAAAATTTCAAATTCTTGATTTAATTGGAATTGGAACATCTTTAATTATTCAAAATAGATTTAATAATCAATTTTATAATATAGATAATATTATTTCAATTCGATATAATGAAAATAAATTATTTATTATTATGAAAATAAATAAAAATTCTTTTATTTATATATTTAAATTAACAAATGATCAACCTTTTTTTTTAACTAAAATTTCTTTAGAAGATAATTGTCGAATGTCTATTTTAAATTCAATTAATCAATTTATTATATTTAAAGATTATTTATCAAATTCATTTATTAAAATGTTTAATAATATTGAAAATAAATTAGAAATAAATCTATATAATAATTATTCAAAAGGATTTATTGATTTTAATGGAAAAATTCGTAATGTTGCTTTACTTGGAACATCAAATATTGTTTTTCTTATTGATAATGCTTTTATCATTTATCATTTATAAATAAGATTTTTACAACAAAACAATATATCATTTTAACAATCATATATATATATATATTCTACCTTATAAATCTTATTATGAAGTTTTTTTTGTTTTTTTCTTGATTAAATTTCAACAATTCTTGTTTAACAGTTGATAACAACTATTTAAAAATGAATATAGAGTTGCAAGTCAGAGATGTCCATCGCGGCTGAAACTCTGCCGCTGCCGCGCCGCGGCATTAGAAAAAAAAGTTACCGCGCCGCGATGAGTAATAAACTTGCCGCTGCCACGATGGTTTTCAAAAAAGTGTTTCGATTTTCACTGCTGCAACTGTATTGGACCAGAAACATTGGTACTAGTCCATCAGATTCATTCAGTCTCGGGGTGTTTCATTTGTAAACAATGAAATTCTATTAAATTCATGCAGTTTTTCAATGCCCTCGAAAAAAAATGCTGCCGCTGCCACGATGAGCTTTTAAAAACTCTGCCGCTGCCGCGATGAGTTTTTAAGAAACCTGCTGCTGCCATGGACATCTCTGTTGCAAGTGAACAATTCTTTAGATGATTATTTAAAGTAATTTAATATAATTGACAATTGTTGAAATATTTTTCGAATGGAAACAAATGAATTCGATAAATAAAACTCATTTGAAATAAAATATTGAGAAAAATTCATATTAGTTTTTTCAAAATAACGTTTAATACTATAGAACTATTATTAAACAAACAATATCTAAAGATTTTAATTCAATATCAATTAATCGATTATTCATTTATTCATTCAAGAATTAAAATCATTCCTCTATCTATTTGACTATTTTTAGTTTTTTAAACCTTTATGATTAGGAACAATAGAATAGGTTTTTTTTTCTTTTTATTTCGAATTTATATTTATCTATTTAAATATAATTCGAGATTTTTTTGACAATTTCTCACTTAAGATAATTCAATTATTTTCATAGTTTTAATATGAGAAAAATATTGAAATACTCTTTGAAATAATTATCAATATCACAGGCGTTTGTTTAACATGAAACAGTTCAAACTTTTATTTTGACACTTAAATTATTCTTGTTAAGAGAAATATTATTTCGAAATGAATATTTATTTATAAATATGTCTAAAAAGACATTTTCTAATAATATATTCAATGTTAAATAAAAAGGTAATAATTATTGAAATGAATTAATTATATATTAATATGAATGTTAGTTTTATTTATCTTCAATAATAGAATCCTATTTCAAGATACAAACATAAAACCAGACAAAAAAAAACTGATCTTGTTTTTTTTTTATTAAGAAGATTTTATCTTGTATAAATAATTAAATTCGATTGGAATAATAATAATATTTATTATGGTTTATATTGTTTAACAAGATGTTGAGAAAATGAATGAATATTTTGTGCACCTCGAACTTCATCATCAAGTAATGGTAATTTAATAACATTAAAATCTTCATAAAGATCATCAATCTATATATATTTAAAATAAATAATATTATTATTAGAATTCTATTAATTCATATTCAAACCTGTTCAATATATTTTTGTTGAAGACGCATTCTTGATGCACATCGTTTACATGAATTTGGATTTTCTCCTGGTGTTGGAAATAAAACTTGATTAACAATAATTGAATGAGTATCAATACGACATTTAGCTAATTCTTGAACTAATCTTTCCGTTTCATATAATGATAAAAATTCTGGTATACATACACAAATAAATGTTGTTAAATTCTTTAAAAAAAAACAAAAAAACAAGACATTAGATCATTTGAAAATTTTTTAATTAAAAAACTAAAAAGACGAACCGGATTTTGGAATTGTTCCATAACTTGACGAATAACAGCTAAAGTTTCTTCTAATTTATTCGACATTAATTCTGATATCATATTATCCATTCCAAACATTGATGAAATCTTTTAAAATACAAAATTTGTTTCTTCTTGTGTTAAAATATATAATTTACCTGTGTAAGAATAGGTCCAACTTGATTTTTAAGTCTTAAAATTTTATCAAGTCCTTTTTCAATAGCTGAAGGAAATGAAAGTAAACGTAATGTATGACCTGTTGGTGCTGTATCAAATACAACAACACTAAAATTCATATTTTTAACTAATCTAAAAAAAAATTTGTTTTCATTTTCAAATCTTTGTTAATTTTTTTAAAAAGAATATTACTTCATAACTTCGGAAAAACTAACAGCTTCATCAATACCAGGAAATGATGAAAGCATTTCTTGAAACATTGAACGACCAACTGTCCATAATTCTTAATTAATTAATATATAATGTAAAATAAATAAAATAAATAAAAATAAAATATTCTTACCACTTTCTTCATTATCGTCAGGTAATTCACTAATTCCACCTGATGGATCAATTTCCTAATTTTATTTTATTTTATTTAAATAAATAAATAAATAAATAAATAAAGTGACTAACCATTGCATAAAGATTTTCATATCCATTAACTCTTGTTGGTTTTTTTGTAAATTTTTGGTTAAATGCATCAGATATATTATGAGCTGGATCAGTACTTAATATTAATACTGTTTCACGTACTTTAGATAATAGTGAAGCTAAACTACAACTATATATACACAAATAAAATCAATTTTAATTTAAAAAAAAATGCAAAAAAAAGATAGAAAAAAACCTGCAAGTTGTTTTTCCAACACCACCTTTTCCTCCAACAAATATCCATTTAAGACTTTTTTGATCAACTATATCGCGAAGACTTGCTTCAGCAATATTAGGCACTATTGATAACGACGACGACATTCAACTACTAACTCTATTTATATTTAATCATCATTGCATTGGACTCATCTTATTACCTTTCAAACTTCGACAACACTATCAAGAACATATTATACTGACCTCTATCGATTTTTTTCCATCGAAACAAAAACAAAATATTCGTTTAAAGAAAGAAAAAATAAATTGATTCTTTAACGAGTTTTTTATGAATTATATTTTATCCGATAGATGTAAATTAATCAAACTAATCAAAAGCAAAATTAATTGATATTGATAAATAAATAATGACAAATATTAATTAAACACAATTAGAGTTTATTCAATAAAATAAAGATTTAAATCAAGAAACAATATGAAAATAATCATAAGATGAAAAGAGAAACATTTTTATTTCCTAAGCGAGATGTTAACAATAACAAACAAGAAAATCGAAAGATTTTTCTCTCTAAATAATTATCGAAGATAATGAAACATATAAATTGTTTTGCCTTGTTATAATGTACTTTTTATTCTATTAATATAAATCATGCAAAAGTTTTTTCACTTAGTTATTCTCTAAGTTCGATACTCAATAGAATTATTCGAATATAAATAATGCTTTTAAACATATTAAGGGGTGTGGATGTGGGTTTTCTACTCTGCCACACCCACACCCAAATCTAATCTGTGTGAATTCTATCAAGATGATATTCAATAATTATAACTTAATTTCTATTGAGATATGTCTGTTTTGACAATGTCCACTACACAAATCGGTACTACCAACTTTTTCTACATAGTTATTCATTAATGAGTGGGGAAGAGCAACGATACTACCGTTCTATTAATTAGTTTTTCGTTCATAATGAAAATAAGTTCATTATTTGGCTTGAAAAGGCTCTAATACATAAAGAATACGAACAAACGTAAAATGCTTGTTGAAACTCACTCACTTAAGACGATTTTTTATTTACTAGAAGTAATATATGATATTTAAAGTTGATTATTTTATTTTGATCAAAAACAATTAAACAAATATTCTCCTTTTCAAATTATTTACTAGATAAACAATACAATTACAGAATGTTCTCTTATGTGTAAAATTAATCAATAAGATATATAGAAAGCTGACGTAAAAACTAGAAACTCTCTTGTGTAAAAATAAAACTCTTCAAACAGATTCTGTCGATATAGACAAATTTCATGTATGTAGCACAAATGATATAGATTTTTGATATTCATCTCAAGTATTTCATTTTCAATTAGTTTATATTTTCATCTTTTGTATAAATCTAGCCGTATGGTTGCTTTGATTTATACAAATAGTTAGTTACAAGTAATAAGGATTCATGATACTTCACACTTCATGGGAAAAAAGACGATGTTTTATAGTCTTATTTATTTTCATCGAAAATGTCAGAAGAGACATACACTTCAGGTTGAATAATATCTTTTGTTTTTGTATTATTCGAAAAGGCAGTAGATGCAATAGTCTAAATTTACTTTTTAAAATAAATATTAAAGTGTTACTTTAAAGTTCAAAAGATAAAGTTAATATATTTTGCTTTAAACCTTAATCTTTAAAAAAACAAAGTTAAAGTCGATTTTTTCATCAACTAAGGTCTCCTTCATGAAAATAACAAATCTTCATAAAACTAGGTCAGACGTTTTTCGAATCGAAGAATCTTAATTGACAATGATTTTCCGAAATTTTAGAGTTCCATCGTTCTAGGTCTGATAACTTCACATTGTAACACAGTTCGTCAAATTTTCATAAAAATTATTATTTTCGGAAAATAAGTCTTCTTTGGTCGAAAATCAAATTTCAAGATTTCGAGAAAAACAAATCTAAATGTAGATTGCTTAGTGCAAAAACCTTTAGTCAAATTTCTTAAAAGAAACGTTGTCTTCACAAAATAAGCTTTTTTTATGAAAAAAAACTACTTGAGCTTTATTTATTTTTAAGTTAGTGATATCTCGATTCTGCAACTATTCAAAAAAAAACAATCATATATCCGATTTCGAAATGACCAATAGGTCAAAATAAGGAAAATATACTCTCTTATGCATCATGTTTTCCATCACTGAGACAATATGTATTATAACTATTTTAACTCATTTTCACACTAATTATAATCCAAAATTTTCACGTAAATATGATGGATACAACTTTTTTCATCTATACAAAGAGGACAATTAGTAAGTCTTTTTTTTAAGGAATTATATAGGAAAATCAAGCAGCTTTATTGATAAAACAAGAATTATTCACAATTAAACTTACTAAATTCGACAAATATCAATGTTCAAAAGATAATGTGGGTGTGGGTGTGGGTGTGGGTGGGGTGTGGGTGTGGGTGTGGGTGTGGGTGTGAGTGTGGGTGTGGGTGTCGGTGTGGCTGTCATCGGAGAGAACACTCCACACCCACACCCACACCCACACCCACACTCACCCACACCCACACTCACCCACACCCACACCCACACCCACCTACCCACACTCACACCCACACCCACACACCCACACCCACCCCATCGGTGAGATGCTTTTTTAATGTTTCTTGCTTATAACGATTGTCCACAGTTTCCGACAATATTTTTCTCTCAACTTCATCTTTAATTACTGTTCCAACATGTTCAGCGACATTCAGATCAGGTGAATTGCCAGGCCATGTGTCATTACCCCAAAAAGTGATATCATTCTCTTTAAGCAAATGTTGAGTCATATTTGCACGCATGCATGGCGCTTTGTCATGGACAAATATCACTTGATCACGATCGATTACATTTTCTTCATCCTCGAGAAATGGAAACACATGCTGCATCAAAATAACGTCACGGAAATATTGACCAGTCCAAGATTCACCCTTCTCTTTCATTACCCAATGTAGCTTTTTTGCTGTGAAAACGATAAAAATACCGATACATATTTGATTTTTTACCACCTCGCGATACCTTTCATCGTCTGCAATATCTTCAATACTTCTTGCCCATACTCTATCATTTTGATAATTTGGCCTGCGAATAGTCCAAACATAAAATTCATCCGAGGGTGCAAGGTGAAGAAAATCTTCTTGAGTCCAGGCTCTTAACCAATCACAAAACCACAATCGGTCCGAAATATGGGTTTCTGTTTTTAAAGGTTTTGGAATAACATGAAATGGTTTCAATCCATCTCTATGACGGTAATTATCGATTGTTTTTCGTGTAACATACTATTTGTGTTTTGCCGCAATCTCTTTGACTAAAACATAAGAACTTCTTTTTTGCTTACCAGTTGCACTGAGAATGAGATTTTGACTGGCATCTGATAATTTCAGTTTTCGACCACACTCGGAATATTCAGCAAAGCAATCATCGTACGATCTCTCCCACCACTCTGTGACAAATCGCGTACTACGATGAATTTTTTCTGCAATCCATTGGCGATTAATGAACGTTGCACCTCCATCTCGAGCCTCACGAAAAGCAATACATTTGATTCTATCGAAGATTCTTTGCTGTTCTGAATCGTAGGTACCAGCCATTTCCAATCGATTAAAATAACATCAGCCACCAAAAGAATCGATTATTTTTGTCTGTCTGCCTTATATACCACGAAATGTCTTTGTGCCGTTGCAGAGGGTCGTGCAATATTTATTCTTACACAGATAGAAAAGAAAAATACTATTTGATGAATGAATCGAAACGTGCTTCCAGAACGAAAAAATATTCAACAGAGAATAGATAATGGGTACTGCTACACACTTTCTCTCATTTTACTGGCATACCATCATTCATATTCAGAAGTGGAAGATAAAAAGGCAAGAGAATGCATAAGAATGAGACGTCATCTTATGTGCTGGGCAAAGTTAAATAATCTGCACAGTTGTACTTAAATAAATTTGTGTTTCAAAAAGCACATTTCTTACCCGAAAACTCATTATCAATACATAATCACGATGATCCTGTGCAAATTTTCAAAAATAAATTATGCTCATAATAAAAAAATTCCTAGAACCCTTATAATTTAGCATCAGAATATCCCATTTTTTCCGCGCTTTCATTTTGTATAAAATTCATCATAGTTATTGTGTAAAACCATAAAGTTACGGCTCCTGAAAGACTACTTTTGGCATCGTTTTTCCAGAGATTTGTTATGTTTGTTATAAAAAATTTTTCAGAACCCCAACAATTTAGCATCAGAATATCCCATTTTTTCCGCGCTTTCATTTGGTACAAAAATTCATTATGGTTACTATGTGTTAGTGTAGAGTTACCCCCCTGAAAAAACATTTTTACCCACCCTGTAGATAGATATCGACTGTGTACACGTATATGCCTTCACTGTCAGGAATGAGAAACGCCTTTGGAAACTTTGATATTGTACGAATTTTCCTTCAAGTAAAAATGGACATGTACAATGATGCTCAGTAACTATAGTCATTGTTCATTCTATCGAAAATTCTATACATATCTTTGAATTACTATTCGATATAATATCTATCAATCCACCTGAAGAAGCGTTCCGCAAACACAGAAACAACCGTTGTTGTGGAACGGCAATATTTCTACTCACCCCTCGTATGATAGAAATCTTTGATTTAAATAAAATAATTTTCAATTAAAATAGATATGGACATGTATAGTATCTATTACTATAGTAATTGTTTATTCTATTAGAAAATTCTGTGTGCAATAGTAAATATATAGATTATGGTATCACAATATAGTAATTCCTATGTTATGATAGAGAAAATATCTATTATTGAATTACTATTCGATATAATATCTATCAATCCACCTGAAGAAGTGTTCCGAAAACACAGAAACAACCGTTGTTGTGGAACGGCACAATTTCTACTCACCCCCATCCACGTCATGTTTTCAAAAACATTATCGAAAATGCTCTTACCCGTGCCATTCGATATTCATCTACATTAGATGCTTTTAATCAAGAACGACGTTTGATTACACTCATGTTACTTTACAACAGGTAAGTCTTCCAGATGTGAACTTTCCATACATATTTTCTAGTTTCTTTAGCTATCCTCCAAGATACATCTATACTCGAAAGAGAGAATTCTTTCAACGATACCTACCTAAAAAAGTGTCAATGGTTATCAATATGTTCGACAATGAAAAACAATTTCTAGCAGTACGATATCAAATCTTACAACAGCAGTTTCATATGCTACCACAAAAACAAATTGATTTTATCGCATGGACCAATGACACAGAGGAAGAAGAAGAAGAAGAAAAGGATATTACAATCACGACGCTGTGTTCAACCAAAGAAGCAAAATGCAAACGAAATCTTATAGTACATTTCCAGTATGAAGAGCGACTCAGAAGTTTTCCGAAGCAGCTTCATCGTATATGGCATAAAACGTTCAACGAACCAATAGTGGCAAATACTCGGCTCGTCGTTGGAACTCGCAATAATCAGAACGGAAGCAAAGAAATGGTAATCAAACATCCTAAAGCTGTGTCTCTCCGATTAGTGAAGAAACCGAAACAATAAGTTACTCGAGTGTCTCTTTTCTCTGTTTTTACCTCTTTTATCCTTAATAAACAAGCCATAATGACAATCCGCTTCTATGCCCTCAACGACAGATAAACAGTCGCCATAATCATATCACGACCAACAATCAACATACACCTAGCTATCTGAAACTCAGTCTACGATAGTCAGTCCCCCGATCAGCATTCACGCCACTTAAACAAAACACTGTAGCGAATGAAAAAAACGGCAAGTTCTTGAAATATACTAATTAACCCTATCCGCACTCCAGTCCACTTAAAAGATCGAATGTTTATTTCCTATGAAAATGACAGCATCTCCAATTGCCAGAATACACTTGAGAAACAAAATCATCAAAGCCTATTCAATGATGCCTTAGTCAGAAACTTAAACAGCCCAGATAACTCTATCCAAACTGAAAGAAGATAACTATACCATTGCTAATGAGAAAAAAAGATCGAAGCTACCTGAGGAGACCCTTAAGCAAGGTCGAAACGCGTCATAGTTTGCTTGAACTCACCGCTAAGTCAAGGATATCTGCTAATTGTTGCAGATAAAGTAATCTTCATCTTGTTGATTTCCGTAATCAGCAGAGTTGAATTACGAAGTCGAAGCTACCTGAGGAGACCCTTAAGCAAGGTCGAAACGCGTCGTAGTTTGCTTGAACTCACCCTCACACCCTCGATCGTAAGTCGCTTGGAATTATCTTATGAATTCTCACCATTTATAAGATTTCTGCGATATTACAATTATATCTTAACACTAGATTGGTGTTGGAAGTCGTCTTTGACTTTCATATCTTTCTTTTAAGTTATGATTTAATTTAATGCAGATATTTGTCTAAAATTCCGAACTTACTCGTTAAGTCCCGTAAGCAAGGACGAAATCGCGATCGTAAGTCGCTTGGAATTATCTTATGAATTCTCACCCTCTTTTTCTTGAGAGCCTCTATCGTCTCCAAAAATCCGTATTCTTTGTTATTATTATCCTTTGAAATTAAAATTTTTCATTTAAAGCAACAATTGTAGCAATAAAGATGACCACATTTCTTACATCTATAACCAAGACCACTAAAACCACCACCAAGAAAACCACGACCACATTTTTCACATTCATCACCAAGATAATCACCACCAGAATAAGAATAACCACCAGGACCAGAACTATCACCAACACTACCAGTATAACCATCATAAAGAACATCACCATAACAACCACGATCACGAATACAATTGCTATCACAACGATTATTGCAACCAGAATACTGACACACGTAATGCTCCTTTTTTGGTACTGCCGAAGTATTTTTCTGAGTCGTGTCTAAATACAGAAATGAAGAAAACTGATGCGATTAATATTAATCAATGATTAAAAGATTAAAAATTACAATCGTAGAATTTAGTTATAGTTAAATGGAAGACTAACTGTCATCACTTACACACATTTAACTAATAAATGATTAAGAAAAGATTGCATGAATAGCATAGTAGATTGATACCGGAAGAAAGTCATTGGAAGCGTTTCGTCAAATATAGAGATACATCAAAGTCTGATCATTCATCATAGTTTTCATTATTAAGTGAATATGATCTATTCGTCAGTGTGACTATATACTAGTTAAATCATTTTTTATTGGTCATCACAATCACTCATGAATTGCGGCTCTTTCTGTTTCCCTCACAGACAAAAATAGATTCGGAGATCATACTAAAAATTGTGAATTTGTTCATGTAATATTTAAAAAATTTCTGCAAAACGTGCACATAAAACATCTCGATCGTATGATTTTCTCATACATACTCAAGATAGTTTCAGAGGAATGAAGGAGAACTTATTCGGTGGCGACTCTTTTTTAATTATTGGTGCTGTTGAAACTGAAGCAGATGATGATTGTTTCACTCCTTCAATGATAGAAAAAGTAAGCTAATTATTTTCTCAAATAAACTTCTTCTATCCAAGATTTTAAAAATAACAACTTCTATCACCAACTACAGTGAATTTATGAGAAAGTGTACCTGTGCTGTTTGTTGGTGACAGCTTTTTATCACCAATTTTACCTTCTAAGAATCGATTCATTTCTTTTGGCGTACTGTGTCTGATAAAAAAACGGCTCAATGATACGAATGTTTTCGATTGTAGAAAAAAGTCTGTAGTGAGTATTGCTTTCTTCACACTGTATGTTTGAAAATGTAAGCTGCTCGAACGTATATAAGTTCTCATTTTTATTTCTTTTTCTCTTTGTTACTGCTGATAAGATGATACATACGTTCGGAAGAAGATAACGGTCGTCACGTTGTCGACGTGCTGTTGACTTCGCAACAGCACAACAATAACAAAATCAGTAGTTACTTTTGGAGGAGACGACATTATCCCATCATGAATACTTAAGAATTTTCGGAGGGGATGACTAATTGCTTTTTATTTAGTGTATTGAGCAAGTCATAAAGGAATTACTTGTTGGTTTCATTTGAATTGTACAGCAGTAATTTGCTGAACCTAATTAGTGACATCATTCATATAAAACTAATTATTTTATTTAGTATTTGAGAATGCTCTATTAAAGTAGTATAAATTCGGTATATTTTTTTTCCATAAATAATCTATTACATTTCGATAAAGTCACACCATAGAAGACATGATAGCAACAATTATTCATAGTATTAATGTTATCGTTACTGTTTTTTATATTTTGGAATTTTTTTATTAATATCTTAAGTAGTAGCTCAAGTAACTCAGATGTTACTGGAACTTCTTCAAATTCTTATATGATTTGGAGGGTTTTGATATATGTAATATTATAGATTCTAAACATACCTGATGATTTGACTGTGTAAGCAGCAGTCGAAACACGTGTCGTGTGATGCTTTGAATCTATTCACACATAATTCTTATATGATATTCTTCTATCGTTTAAAGAATTATTACATTTTGTCTTTACTTCTTCAAATTCTTATATGATTTGGAGGGTTTTGATATATATGTAATATTATAGATTCTAAACATACCTAATGATTTGACTGTGTAAGCAGCAATCGAAACGCGTCGTATGATGCTTTGAATCTTATATTTCTCTATAAACTTACCCTCACCCTCACCCACCCTCAGCCACCCTCACCCTCATTTAACTCTTCCTCTTCTTGAAGCCCTGTTTGAATTTCGGTAAGAAACTCTGTTCGGAATTTTTGATTATTTTGATTAGCTGGTACCTTGTTGACAAGATAAATCAACGAGTCAGGTGGGAATTTATAAGCTTTGTAAAGAGCTCTAAAAGCAATAAGATCATTAGATTGGACTCTTCCACCGATATGTGCTGACTATACAAAAATGACGATCGAATATGGACACTGCTGAAATGCTTTGATGATCTCTTGCTTGTTTTTATCAATTCGATCCTGCTTCCGTTCGATCAAGCCTGGAATGTTGAAGATCAAAAGATCAACACCATCCACAGTAATTTCATGATGCTCTGTTTCCAATGTCACCGCTTTAGCAGAAAACTCGCTTGCAAACTGTGAATTGTCGATCAGAATATTGCAAAGAAAACTTTTACCCGATCCGGCATTACCTACAATGATAATGCCACACTTGCCTCGTGTATGTTGAGAACCACTTGTAGCCATTGTTTCAAGAAATTGATTTGTGTGAAACTGAAAAAAAAACGTGAAAATATGAAATCAATTCTAATGTTTATAGCTGACAAATATCAGAATGATCGCACTCTTTTCCAATAAGACTGATCAGAAAGATGTACCAAAACGATAAATGGATTTTTAACTAATACTTTCTCTGGATGTGTGAGGTGTAAGTTTCAAATGAGGATACTGAAAAGAACTTATCACTCTCTCCCCACGCCCGTACATCCATACCTCACCTTGGATACGATACGTAGGAGAACCTCAATCGCGATGATACAAAAAAAAAGAAAAAACAATGTATACATCGTACAAGGTATCAAGTTTCAACAAAAGAAAAACAATAATAAGAGATAAAACAGTTAGTCTTTGTATATCAACAATAATATAATCCTTTTTATACATATTTTTTTTATCAAAGAAAAGCCATTGAATTCACCAAAGACTAGTGATCAAATTATCATTAATTACAAATATATATCAGATATATTAATAGAATTCATTTATCTTTCTAGAATTTGAGATAGGATTTCAATGTAATTTCATTTTGATTCAAAATTTACCTGACGAGTCCCTTAAACAAGGA